TTTTTTTTTTAATCTCTCACCCCGTGCTGCCCACCCCACCCCTTCAATCCAGGTACTAGTGAACACTCCACGTACATTGTGCAAACCTTGGACTTTCATTTGGGCCACAACACAATGGTCACCAAACCCTGTGGAGCCCTCGAAAGCCCCATGGCCACAATCACAAAGATAACACGGCGCCGCCACGAAAATCCACCCCATGGAGTTGCCAGTGTGAAAGAGTGGTTCAATTATGTTACAGCCACAAGGAATGAAGGTTAGAGCCATGTTCATTAAGTCTGGGGATTGATCTGCTGGCAGATGTTTCTGCTTAAAAGCTGCTAAACTTGAAGTGGGCTACAGGGAGAATGGAAGTTGTTTCTTCCTGAGGACCTTATGGTTAACTGTGGAATGAAGCAGTGGAATATGCTGAAATTCCTCTTTCACTATATGCAAAAAAAAGTGTTGTTTCACATTCAGTTGTGATCTTGTAATGTAAAGATATATTTTCACTGTATATAAAGGTTTTATGGATTAAGTTGAAGTAGGAATATATTTTAGCCTTCCATCACCACTTACAGCTAACAAATTATTCATCTGTCTAAAGCTTTTCAACCTTGAGCTGTTTCTAGGCCTTAAAACGTTTTGAATCATGTCTTTAAATCATTGTTAATTGGAAAATAAAAGCTTCAAGCTGTTAAAATAAATCTGAAAATACAGCTGTTGATATTTCAGTCACAAACTGTAGAATCAGTAGTTGACATTAATAGGAGTTCTGTGAAATATATATGGCATATAGTGAGAAATGAACAGATGATAATTTCTTGGAAAAGTGTTTTTAAATGATTGATATACTATTCTAATATTTATTCCTTTAGAAAGACCCAGGAGGAGGTAGTGGTTGAAGTTCAAAACGGAGGGCCTGTCTATTAGATGTTTTTGTGTAGCTCTGTGAAGGATTTAAGTATATAAACAACAACATTTGGTTGTTTGATCTTTTCTAGCCATGCTTTTGGGAGCAGGCTCGAAGATATAATCTTCTTAATAATTATACAATTTTACAGGTGACCTTTCTTAACTTTTTTGCCTTGTCACAATTAAACATTTCCCATTGTTCCTGCAGAGTTGAACCTGCTTCGGAATGTTGATGCCAACAACCCAGAGAGCAGCACAACAGTGAAGAGCTCCAGCTTGCTAAGTGGCTTCAGAGGTGGCTCCAGTTACAACCATGAAACTGAAACCATCTTTGCATTGCCAAGGATGCAGCTGGATTTTAAATCTATCCATGTTCAAGAGCCCCAAGAGCCTTCGTTACAAGGTGCAGTAAACATAATTACATAATTTGTTTTTCTTGGTCTAAAACTATTTCTCACTAATGAGGAGTTAAATACAAGGGTAACATGTTGGTAAGAGAAGAGGATTTAATCTGAGAATTCCTGTAGATCTGCAAGAAAGGATAAAATTTCATGTAGAGGGACATTTCATTTTATGTTTCTGCATAAAACATAGAGGGAATTCTGTTGAGAGAGTGAAGATCTAGTCCAGAGACCACTGACTATAAACTAAAATTTAGTGAGAGAATTGATATGAACATTTGAGCTAGATTGGCTGTGGCTAGGGGGCTGGTTTTCTTATATTTATTAAAATCTTAGAGAAGAGGAGGGCCATTCTCAAAAAGGGAATATGAGATAGGAACCTAAATTTTATGCTCTTGTTTTCAAAATGGTATCTTCAGACTTCAAATCTTTAAATGATTTGTATTCAAATTCTATGTACTTTTGCATATACCGTATGTGCTTGTAAGTGTATTAATACTGTTTTTATCTGACTGTAGATACAAGTGTTAAACCAAAGGTGGAATGCAGTGTAGTAACTGAATTTACAGACCACATCTGTGTAACTATGGATGCTGAATTGATCATGTTTCTGCATGACTTGGTGTCTGCTTATCTAAAAGAAAAAGAAAAAGGTGAGTTGTTGTTTTATGAGGTAACACTTCTCCGACAATCTGCAGTTGTCAGATTATTTGACAGTAAATATAGTCTGTCATAATTTTGCTCCTATTTTGACACCTGGTGTTTAGTTTAACTTTCTCTTTGGTATAGACAAATGGCAAACTGTTTTAGGAAGCTTTATTATTTTTATTGTAATCCTTTCACCAGCAGAGTCCTTTCAAGACATGCATTTTTCTGACCTCAGAATGCTTTATTTTTATACATGAATATGTTCAGTTGCAGCATTCAAATTTGGTGTGTTCATTCTTAAATAATATGTGGTCTGCACCAGAAATTCTGTAAAACTAAAACACAAAGTGGTTCTCTTTTTGTTGAGATTTGTGCCTCTGTTTTATTTCAATTCAAAGAGAATTCAACTGAGCTGCTTGAGACTGACTAGTGTGGGGGTTTTTCCTATCTCCACTTTGCAGCAATTTTTCCTCCTCGCATTTTGGCTGCTCGACCAGGGCAGAAGAACTCAGTTGGTGTTCTGGAGGACAGCTCCGCCGACAAGGAGGCAGAGGAAAGCATTACTTACACTACAGTCGACTGGAGAGAATTCATGTGCAATACTTGGCATTTGGAACCCACACTCAGGTAATAAGCTGCTTTATCTGCAGTCTCTTTGGCTATGCATAAACTTCTAGATCAGAATTTATGCAGATTAAGGATATTGTTGAAGGCTCTTCAAAAATAGGATACAGGAAGCTTAAACTCATTAATTTCACTCTGTCCTACAATAGCCCATTCACTTTCAGCCATGCAGTTTTTCATTTTTCATTTTTAGCATTCCAGTTTTAGTTTTTAAACACCTTAAAATAAAAAAAGCATAATATACTTGTTGCTATATGGTACTTCAAACTTAGCACAAAAGAATAGTGTGAATGGCAGCAACTCACTACTCTGTATATAATCACTGACACTGACTTTTCTCTGTGTAGGTTTTGTTTATGTTTTTTTAACCTCTGCTGGAGCACCTGAGTGTTCATTCACATATAAAAACAACACATCAGGCCAAACAAATCTTGACAATTGGCATTTTGTGTTAGCAGTGGTAATAAATCAATTTAAACGTGATCTGCAGGCAGCCCAGTCTGGTTTTTCATCTCTTTGAACATTCTCTTCCTTCGAGAGGATGTTCCATTGATCATCTTGAGCTTATCTGTATAAATCAAATTTGAAACCATACTTGTTGGGATTAGGTTGGTTGTAAGTAACAGTGGGAAAATCGATTTTTGTTTATACAAATGCCTTTTGCTATATTTGTATATTTGAGATCGAGTCCTCTATTTATTTGGGTTTTTTCAGATTAATATCCTGGACTGGGAGAAAAATTGATCCTGTTGGTGTTGACTACATCCTCCAAAAGCTGGGCTTTCACCATGCAAGGACTACTATCCCTAAATGGCTGCAGCGTGGTGTCATGGATCCTTTGGACAAAGTTTTGTCAGTCCTTATAAAGAAACTTGGTACTGCACTACAGGATGAAAAGGAAAAGAAAGGAAAAGACAAAGAAGAATATTAAAAATACAATGTGACAACCGTAACTCCGTTTGATTTTATCAAAGTGTTTTATTATATTTTAAGAACTTAAATATGGTTTAAAGAGAAACCTAACAGCTTTTTGCTACTCTATTTAAAACTTACATTGTGAGTAACTGTTTACTGTGGTACTTGATACCATTCTGTATTTGAAGTTATTGCATGATGATGATGACCAATGTAAATTCTGTGAAGGAATAGCTGGAACACTGTAAATCTGCTCCTCAGCGTCCGTTTTATTATGTGCAATATGATCCTGCATCTTTACAATACTTGCAGATTAACTGTGAATTTTCTTAAAAGTTTTATTTGCCATAACACAAACCCCTTGTTGATGTGACCAGTAATTGATTTGTCAATGTAGACTGGTGTAAATTATATATATATATACATATATATATAACTTATGAAACTGTGATTGCCTTAGTGCTAAAAATCATGAAGTTTATTACACTTGTAATAAAATTTAACTACTGTACAGGACTTTATTTTTTTCTTTTTCAGTGAAGAAAGGTGAACAACAAGAAGAAAGTGTTTTAAGTGTAACTTTGCACAGAGTGTGATTTAAGTGAGGTAAATCCCAATCCTGGCTGTGTGCCAGGAGCTTTCTTGGAAAGCAGCCAGGACGTGTGGCCCCAACCATAAAAAAACCCCCGGATTTGTTTACCCCATGTGCAACAAGCCAATAATTACACACTCAAGAGAGACACTGATTATTTATTTCAGAGGTGCGCAAGCCTGGGTGCTCGGTGGTATTCCATAAATCAGTCATACCAACTATCAAAACTTTTTACTATTTATACATCTTATCCAACAAAGGAATTAGCGTTCATTGGCTACAAGTTACATAGTTCTCTTATTAATTAGTATTCTGTCTTCTATTGGTTAATTATTCTGTCGCCTGTCACGCTAATCATTCCGCACGCTCAGTCTTTCCTCTTCTTTTGACTTTTAAGTTAATGAGTTTCTTGGGTCAGTGGTCTGTGACTCGGTGATCATGATCTGCCCACGCTGGAATTACCTTTTACCCAGCTGGGGCAGATTTCACCACACTTGCTGATAAATTCTGCATTCTTTGTGCCCACTACCACTGGAACATCCTTCTCCCCCAGCTTTGTTTACCTCCGCCCAGGTCTGAGACGATCGAAGCATGCCCCGCCCCAAACCTTAATAAGGCAATTCTACCAACAAGTGATTTGTTTTCCTAACAGCTGGACATCACTTTGAGCTTGTTAGCTGCTGTTGCACGGAGTGCATCCCCGTTCTCGTTGATTAGGCTTGAACGTGTACACAGATCAAACATTAAAGAACACCCTTTATCAAGGAAAGGTTACGCAGCCCCGTGCTCCCCTCAGCCGCTCCCCGTTGGCGGGAGCTGCCCCTCACGAAATGGCGGGAGGGGCTACGCGGCGGCGTCCCCGCCTCTAAAGCGCCGCCGGGCAGAGGTGCTGTCAGGGCCGTTTGAGGTGCCGTGAGGGCTCCTGGGCCGGCCGAACCCATCGCCTCAGGGCGGCAGGGACCTCCCTCCCCGTGCCCCGACCTTCGTTTCGCCTCAGGCGCGCTCCGCCTGCCCGCCGGGTGCAGGCGCTGAGGAACCACCCACGGCGGGACGAGCCCGGCAGGTGAGGGTGTTTGTTCTCCGAGTTAAAGGAGGAGCGCAGGTACAAACCCTTGAACTCGTCCCGGAAATTTCAGAGGGATCTGCTTTGCTGCATTCTTGGTTTGCCGGGTTGAGGATTTGGTGTGTCCTTCCAGCTGGTCGCGTCGGGGAAGGTGGTTAACTAAAGGGTGAAGTGGCTTCCAGCCTGCTGGTGCCGGTTGGGAAGGGAGGGTTTGGAGGGATACACCGGGTCAGGGAAGGAAGGGGTCGGAAGGACACTAGATCTGGGTTCTGCCCCGGCCTGTGGGGGGCAGAGCGCGAGTTGTTTGTAGTGCTCTTGCGAAGCAGCTCAGCTAGGAAAGCTGCAGTTTGCGGGGTGTCTTTACCATTCACGGGTTTACTGTTAAAAGTTCCTTAGGTTGGTAGAAAATGGCGAGCAGCCATGGCTGGTTTCAGGGTGCTGGGATGCCCGCCTTCGACCCCGCGCCAAAAAGGATTTTGCCATCTGAGGCTTTCAGGCAGCCAGTTCGGAAGAAACTCTCGGAGCCCGTGACTCCAGGGCTGAATCCTCCACCTTCTCAGTGGCGCAGGCAACCAGAGGTGATGCAAAATCCAGGTATAGCTTTCAGTTATAAACTGGGATTAGCTGCTAATAGTGTTGCAACCCTCTGCTGCTTTTTCTTATCACTGTGTTTTCTTTAGTGACATTCTTAGCATCTTCTCCTACTTGTTCCTCTTCTTGCTATGTTTTAGCGTGTTGGAAGTTGCCTACTGATTTGTTGTAGGCTTTTGTAGTTTGTCTATAGTCTGCAGCATTTCATAATTATAAAGTTCAAGTTAGACATTGAAAGTACTGTAGAGGTATAGGCTATGTTTTGGCAATGTTCTGTTGCATGAGTTTTAGTAGATATCGTTGAGAAAACTGCAGTTCCAGATGTCCCAGGATGTGTTTTGAGTTCCATCACTTCGAATAGCTGTATTGAGATAAAGGCATCTATTTATGAGACTTGTAAACAAGGATTTATTTTAGTTCTTCTTGGCTGGGAGGTACTTGTGTCTGAGTATATCACACCCCTGAAGCTGGTGATTCTGTCCATCTAGCGGTTGGTGAAACTTTTACAGTGTCTTAAAGCAGGGAGTTCTGCTGCATAGTTTAGTGTGAAAAACCACAGGCTCTGCTGTTTTGAATCTGCCGTCAGCAACTTCTGTTGGATCACTGGTTTACGAGAGTGGGGAGGGGGATATAGGTTGTGTTTATTTGTAATAGCTGTCTGTATTCAGAGGTTCCTGGGTTTACTACTCGGAGGAAGAGCTTTGCTGCTTTTAAAAGAGGATATGCATACCGTTTCGGAATTGCTGGTGGTGTTAATGTAGGATTCCATACAAAGCAACAGTGCTCTACAGTACATCTTGTTGCTTTTTGTTCTTCTAAGAAGCGTCTGAAAAGCATTTATTGTAAACGGATTTAAGCTGTCAGAGAGTGTGTTCAGTTCTCAATTTTGTTTAATAACCTTTTCTTTTTAAAGGGGCACATGCACCACCATTGTCAGCACCTCCTTCACAGAAGCAGCTAAAGGAGTTGATCGCAAAATATAAAGAGGGAGCAATAAACTCAGTATCTGCCTTGCATCAGTTTGCCCAAATGCATAACATGCAACTTGAATTGAAAGAAACTAGTGTGGCAGGTAAATATTTCTTTTCCTAAATAAAGTATTACCTGCTTATCCTTGAGATTATCTGAATTTCTCCAGTTAGTATTGGTGGCACTAGTACAGATGATTTTTTTTTTTTATTGTTGATTGCACTACTCTTCACACATGTTGCTTTGCTTTCTGGCTGCCCTTTTATTGTCTACACAGATGTATCTCATGATAAAGTACCACAGAATTTGATCAGATGAATTATGTAGAATTCTGGCTGCTACCAGAACTCTGTGAAATGTGCATGACGTGAAAAGCCACTGAAATTCTCGTGGAGGTGAAAGATATGAATTGTGTTTTGCCAAAATTGTCTTTTTTTCTCTTGTATTTTTTCTGGGCATTAATATAAGGGCATAAAGCTATGGATAAATTATCTTAAAATAAATTCAGTAATTGTGGCTGCTTTTTTTCCTCCTTTAAAGGTGATATCATAAGGCCTTATTTTGCCTTTTGTGCTGTGATAAATGGTGTTTCCTACAAGACTGGGCTGGGAAAAAACAAGAAGGAATCTAAATTAAATGCAGCTAAACTGGCTCTTGCTGAGCTACTTAGCTTGGAGAATACAGGGGCAAAATCATCTGAAGATTCAGGTAAATATTCTTGTAACACCTAATTAGGATTTTAAAAGCTGGGCCTAAAGGTTTCCTGTGTAAAAACCTCTGTGGGTTTATTAAATGCTTCAGCATCAGGGCCTTTGTCAGGTTTTTTGAATCCTTTGGGCAGATGTCTTTTGATTCTGAAACTGGTCTTTTCCTTTGTCATTTGTTTATTATCAGTTGGTAGTACAGAACCAAGAATACTGAAGGAATTACTTGTTGTTTCACTTGATTTGCTACTCACTGGGTACAGCAACATGAAGTACATCTCAAGTGGTGTTGAATTTTTATGTTTATAAGGGTTCCCCACTGATGTACTGCTTTAAATAGAATTCAGTTACTGTGCTGTTTATCTTCTTTCAAGGTTTGTTGTCTAAAAAGTCGTAAGTTTACAAGGATTTCAGATAGAAAAGGAAATTCTTAGGGAACTAGAAACTTTGACTTGCTGGAAGTAAGCCTGAGATTCATGTTTAGAAATTAGCAATGTCCATCCCGCTTCAAAATTTTCTTAAATTCTTAGATTTTCATTGTGTTCCTGCCGACCTCCAAACTCCAGCAAACTCTGCTTGTGTTTCAAGGACCTGTGTTGGTAAGGAATGATCTTGTTGTTCTCTGTTGATTCAAATTATCCAGCAGATCCCTTTTTTAATTCCTCTTTTAATACATTTAGTGACCTCCATATGGTACTGTTATTTTAAACATCTTCTCTTTGAAGAAGGCTGTAAGAATTAGTGTCACTAGGTCGGTTGCATAAATGGAAACTTCATTAAATTGCTTGAATTTAGGTGGTGAACTGATGACAGAAGTAAAAACAGTATAAATAAAAAGTATTTCTGTCCTTACTTGAACTAGTGTGCAGTAGGTGATCAAAATTGATCAATATACTGCCTTATAATGACTGATAAAAGCATAAAGTGCTTAGGTATTCTTGAACTTATTTTTTATTTCCGATAATCTTCAGAATCCCAAAAGTATGTGTTGATAGTAGTGCTTACACCGTGTGGTCAGGTTTAAAATTTGTCAAGTGGTTGCTCATGTGTGTTTCCCCCCCCCCCCCCCCACTTGCAAATTTGTCCTACTGTTTTCTGTTGTTCTATTTAGGGGGATGGTCTATATATTCAAAACTTTCACAGACAGTGGAAGAAGTATTTACCAGGCTGACTGCCCAACATCCCGAGTACCAAAGCTGTGGGAGCTCACTGGCTGCCTTCATCATCGAAAAAGGCGAGTCTGTTTTCACTGTGAGCTTTGGGGAGCCGGAAACCTGGGCTGTTCCCAGAGAGCAGCTTGGTGGGCACCTGGCTGCCAGAGGAGGTGAACCTCCCCCAATGTCTCTTTTCAGGTGGGCAGCACGAAGTTGTGGCTCTGGGAACAGGGGAGTGTAATTACAGCCGGCGCCTCGAGTCCTGTGGCAGAGTGTTGCACGACAGCCACGCCATTGTCACCGCCAGGCGTTCCCTGCTTAGGTGAGGAGGTGCCTGCAAAAATAGTGTCCTTGCAGCCAGTTCTCCTCAGTTTTACCTTGGCACTTGCATTTTGTGGCTAGTATCTTTTAGACTGTTTTCAAATCACGTGAATTAAATGCGTCTGCGTGTTAGTAAGCAAAGTAGTTTTTTTTCACATTTACTGCTATTAAACGCTTTCTTTCATAGGTATTTGTATAGGAATCTCTTGCTGTTCTATAATAAAAATCCAGCAAAGTTGGAGAGATCCATATTTTGTGCAACACCAGGCTCGAAACTGCTCACCCTGAAGCAAAACACAACTTTCTCTCTCTACCTGAACCAGCTTCCAAAAGGAACTGCTCAGTTAAAGTCAAATGTGTAAGTACCATGGTTTTCAGAGATGATGTAGTGGAAGATTCAGGATGAGCTTTTGTTTATTACAGATAACTATGTGCCCCCTTCTCATCAGTTAAAATACTAATAAATCATGAATTTAACCACTGATCAAGTGGATGTGATGACTTAATGTCATCCTTTGCACCACAAGATTAGAGTACAAAAAGGCTTGAATTGAAACCAAAGTCTACTGCTGTGCTTTGTAGATAAAAGGTAATGAGAGAACCCTGATGAATCCCTATGCTTATCTTTACACTTCTAACTTTTGTTAAATTTCTGAAAGTTTGGGATTTTTTGGAATGGTTTCGATATTTAACAGCAGCAATCATTGGTTTACCAAGTTGTGGACAACATTATTTTGTGTCCCCTTTTATTGGTAGGGTAGTGTCATACTATCGTAACTTTTTCATACGTACATCCAGGTAGTTGCTTTCATGCTGAATTTGGGGGGTTGGGAAGGCAGACTTGTGACCTGGAAGAAACAGCCAGTTCATTGCAGGAGCTCCTTCTGTTAGAACTGCAGGAGGTTTTAGGTGACTTTCAGTGTTGTAGCTCCTGCCCAGACTTGGTTGATGAGACTGGATGTATTTGTAAACTACCCTGAAATACTTGATGGGTCACAGGTTCACCACTTTCTCTTTTTGCCCCTTCTGGTGTGTCCTATCTCGAGACAAACTCAGAGAAGTATTTTCTTCTAATACAGTGGATTGGCTTATGTGTAGAGTTATTTAAAGGTATTTTTAGGAGGGAGCTACTTGCAAGTAATGCATTCAGTAGCAAAGTGTGGCCGCTTACTATCAGGTGATGTTATGTTACCTAAGCCAAAAATAAGCATTTGTTGTCTAGCAATGTATTAGATATCACTTTACAATAATCTCTAATCAGAGTGCTTTGTCACTGAAAGCCATTCTCATCTTACTGTAGATATCTGGGTCCACAGTCTCTGTCTGCTTACGAAGCCAGTGAAGAATTGAGTCTCCATGTCGCTCTGGAAGGCAGGATTTACCTGGCTGTTTGTTGTCCCCCTAAAACTGTCAGAGTGAGCAGCATGTCAGGCAGTGACAAACTCACCAAGTGGGAGGTGGTTGGTCTTCAGGGGGCCTTGCTGAGTCACTTCATTGAACCAGTGTATATCAACAATATTCTTGTGGGTAAGTTTAGTGCAAATTTCAGTGCGGTCTTTGTATGTTTCTGTGTTCCGGTTTGATGAACATTTTATAAACCATTAACTAAACTGGATGATTCTCTAAAGAATTACAGTATTTTTCTGAAAAGGTGTACTAAGGGCGTATGTATTTTTTTACTCATCTTTGAAATGCCCTAATGTAAAACTCAGACACTGTGGGTTTCTTGTAGCTTGCCAGATTTCCAACCCTTCCTTTTCTGTGTATTTGAGTGACAGAAGAAATTCAGCTTTTTCTAATGAGTTACATTTTTTATACTGAGAAAACATCAAATGTGACAAATGCTGCGTCTACTCTTCAGTCAAATGGTGACTTTAAGGTGACAGTTTTAGTAATTTCATTACTTGAAAGCAATAGAAAAACTTCTCAAATGCTTACTTAAGTAGTATTCAAAGTAAACATAATAATCTGTAATTACTATTGCCCTTACAATAGAAATGTTGACCCTTCCTTGACATGCAGCGGACCAAAGTATATTTATTTAGCAGTGCTGTTGGATGTGGAGTAATGTGGGCAAGCTCCCTGGCATATCTTCAGATCTGGAATATCCAAGTTCTGTTTTAGTGGTGTCTTCTGCAGGGAACAGAAGAAGGGTTGATGAAAAATAATTGTTCAAAAAAGAAGGCATCCAGTGAAAATAATGATGCCTCTGGAGAAGGAAGTGTGAAATCATTTTTGTTCTGTAAAATTGAATATTGGAACTCATCTGCTGATATTTCCACACATTGATTTTATGTCAAAAAATAACTGTAGTGTAGTTTCTAAGAATGCAAAACACCTGCATTCTTAGCTTTTTTTTTTTTTTTTTTTTTTCAATTTGGTGTACTCACGTGTGACTGATATTGTTCTGTTTAATAGGAAATGGAAATTGTAAGGATACAAAAGGACTAGAAATAAGTATAAAGAAGCGTCTTGACGATGAGCTTGTGTCGAAGCTTCCCATGCCTTACCTGGTCAACAGATCTCATATTTACTTGGTGAAAGCTGCACAACCAGTTCAAACAGATTTAAAACGGTGGTCTCTTAGTCTGAATTGGACGTGGACAGATGCATCCGTGGAGGTCGTGGATGGGATAAGTGGAAAAACCACTGAAAGGTCAGGATTTCTCTTGGTGTCATTGGAAATCATGGTTAGTCCGATTGTTCTGTACTGGTTCACTGGAGTATTCAGTTTTTAAGCTGTGCATGGAGGCCACAGCATGAGAGACGTTCTCTCCTGTGTTGGCTGAATGCATCCTATGATTTAGATGCAGTTTTAGAGCTCTTGTAACTCCACAGTGGGATATACCAAGGTATGAAACAAAACAGTTCTTTGAGTGGAGATATTTGCAGTCTGTTATCTCTTGTAGTGCATGTTTTAGTTTTCACAGTACGTGAATTAGCATCCTGGTTGAGACAAATTCCAGTTCGGTGCTGTTCACAACGTGTTAAGAGGGAGAAAAAAAAAACCCCTGTGATGATCAGAGCAATCTCCCCGTGATGATTTTGTTGCTGAGTTTGACTGTTTTCTCTCCCCGTGGCCGTAGCTCCCCGTTCCGGAGCGGCACCTGCATGGCCAGCCGCCTTTGCAAGGCAGCCATGTTCAGTCGCTTCAGGCTGCTCTGCAGGGAAGCAGGACGGAGTGATCTGCTTCAGATGGCAACGTACCGCGAAGCCAAGGTGAGCTGCTGCGGGGAGGGGGAGCTGGGGTGAGTCCTCTCTTACTGTCTGCTCTCAAAGCTCGTGTGATTGCCACGGCTGACTTTCTGTTTTGCTGACAACTTCACCCGAACAGCTTGTAAACAATCTGTATCTTTTTTTTCCTCCTGTCAAAACACGCAAGAGACCATTTTTTTAAATGATTCAAAAACTACTTCAGAAAGAAATCACTTGCTAATTGAGTCTTGATGTGTTTAGGTTTGTATTGAATGATAGTGAATGTTTATTTTCTGTATAAAGATAATACTGGAACGGAAAACACACTGAAAAAAAGTTCATCAGAACAATTTTCTCGTCCCCGTAAATGCACAAAAATATAAAAGGAATATGTTTTTAGAGTCTAAAACTTCCTCCCATTGTCAACATTTGAGGGAATTTTAAGATCTGTAGTTACTGTTTTCTACAGTGTTTGTGCTTGTGCATATTATGTGCTGCTGGTAAAGAGCACAGGTTTCTGTAACCATCATCTCTGTAACCATCATTCTTGAGATTTTTCAGGGTCTTCCTTTTTCTTGTTTTAGGTTCAATCTCAATTGTACCAAGAAGCTAAAAGCTTGCTGCAGAGCTACTTAGAGCAGCACAGCTATGGATCCTGGATTGTGAAGTCTCCACATATTGAGCAGTTCAGTAACTGACCGTGAGGTGGGTTGTGTGTGAAGTCAGTTTGGATGATCTATTTCGGTGAAGTAATGCTCTGATTAGTAAAATGTTTAACTGTAGGTTGGTATTTAGAGGAAGAAAACAATTCCAGAACTGCTTCTCTTCAGTTTAAATGCAGTTGTTAAATCACTTGTAACAGTTCAGTCTTTTCCAGAAGTTGATGTTTTCTCATAGACAGGAGCATCCAGAGGCTTTGTAAATCTGGTTTGCTTTGCTCCCCAGTGCTGCCTCATTTCAGCCCCCTCACCCTCACCCAGTGGGGGTGAATTCCTTTCACTTTATGGAGTTACATGTTTTTTTCTTGATGGTTTCAGGATTTCTGTATCCTGATTTCTTTGTTTTCCCTACCTTTTTCATATATTTCATTTAAGAAAGAAAAAAGATCAGTAAAAGCTGGATTTCTTAAAAAAAAAAAAAAAGGCATCCCAATGAGAGTGTCTTTCTCAGAAACAAAAATGAACAATCTGTACCTTATCTGTAGGCATCCACCCTTTGCTAGTTCTTTTAAGAGTTTTTTGTTCAGTGTGGATTTGCCAAGTGGCTTGTAGTTTACCATGTACTGTTTGTGGTTGAAGGGTTAAAAAGTAATTGTGTACTTCCAGTGAACTTGGAGTTACCAGCTGTTAATCAGCTGTTAAGCGACAATCACTGGTTTTGGTAGCAGATTTAAAGTGTTCTACAGCTGTAAATAAGAAAATAACACGATGAGGTACAGAAGTCACCAGAAACAAGGCTCCTTCAGCCTTTGTGGGCTGCCCCAGAACCCATCAATGTTAGTGCCTGTGGATGAGCTGGACTCCTCCGCTCTCAGATGACTTCATCACTGTGCTGATGAGTCCTCACGAAATTGCCTGCAAACATAATGATCTGAAAAATGGTACCTGTCAAGGGGGAAGTTGCTTCCTTGTGAATTCTGGTGGGAATATGGCAGCACTGGGATAAAGTTGAAAAGGATGTTAAATGCCATACTTGGGCTTTGTGTGGTGTTGTGAAATACTAGTGTGTTTAAGCTAGATAATACACTTTTATTATGTTACTTGACTTTTGTGCGTCATCCAAGTGTGGAAAGCTGTTATGTAGTGTTCTTTTGCATCGATATTAGTGCTGTTGTCATGTTTCAGCTTCTTGTTTGTTGTAAATAAACTCCTCTTTCTAGTATTTTTTTCTCCTTAATCTGTTTTTGTAACTAGCATGTGGAGTCACTTCTGGGAATGATCTTATGCTGACTTTCAACTTGTTGAAACTCACTGACTTGTTTTACTACTTGGTTAACTTGGGAGATTGTGTGATGCTGTTCTGGTTTTTTTTGTGGCACTTGGCTCCATGTAATTCTTTCTAAGAATGCCAGAGCATGGCCATCATATTCCAGGCTAGAGCAGAGTGTTGCCTTTTTCCAGGGGTGTTAAAAGCTCAATAAATTTCCTTGACAATGTTTTAACTATATCTGCGTACATATACATGTCAAATCTGACACACATGTAACATACCACATGCGTGTTAGTGTTCTATACACTTCTGGACTGGTTTTCCACACGGGCTTAGAGTTTTGCTGATATATCAGCACCAAACTCTTTCCTGTAGAAAGCCTTAGAAGCCTTAAATATGTACAAGTACTGAGCTTTTTTTGCTCAGTTTTGCTTTTGTTGAATGAACAGCGAACTGAAACTTCCACAGAAGTCAGGTGCTACCTTAGGAAGACAGAGGCTTGTGAAAACAATATGTTGAGCTGGGCATGACAGCTGTATCCTTGAGGAACGAGTTCATGACACCAGCATGGATCTGGATCGTTCTTCGGTTAAGTAAAGGCATATGTGGAATGTGCTGAGCTAGTAAATGGAAGCATGTAGGTCTTGTATCCAGGTTTTCCTCAGCTGCTTCAGTAATTCCAAAGAGTGTGATCCTGCAAGCTTGAGATAGAAGGAGCAGGAGTGCTGCAGTTCTGGTAATGAGGCTGAGGATGGATTCCTGGCGGGTACCTGCACACAGAGCAGGTGTGCATCACACAGATGGTGCTTACACAGGTCTGTCAGCACGAACAGCCCCGGCAGCCACTGGGGCTGAGCTCATTCTCTCCCTGCCTGAGAAGAACTGAGGTCCAGGGGTGACAGCACGTGCACACATGCATGTGTATGGGGAAGGGTGGGGTGGTGGTGGGCACTTGTGTGTCCTTTCTGTATGCACACACACGTACAGACACACCTGCTGCACCTGTACTTGACTGTACGTAACTCACGTCTTAAGTGACACACCTTGGCATGGTTTAGGAACACTGCTCCCCTATTCAGTGTCCCCCCTGAGACTCCAAACCATACCCTGCTCTCTCTCTCCCATTTTCCCCTTCCTGCTGCCGGGGGGATGGAGAGGAGAATTGGAAGCACAAAAGATTATGGTTTGAGGTAAGAACTATTTGTCGGAAACAGCAATGAGGTAAGAAAAGGAACAGAAACAGCACCAATGCTGATGACAGTGGGTACAAGAAAAGAAATTATTCACACAAGGGAAAAACCCCACGCTAATAGGTAGCACTGGACAGCTCCCTCTGCCGTGTTTTCTTGACTGGAGGGAACCCCTTCTCCCTGGAGTCACCTTTTTCCCTGCCCCTGGGAATGTGAAGTGGTATAAAATAACCAAACTCTGTGTCCTAGCTGTGTCCCCTCTTGGCTACTGCGAAAGTTAACCCTGCCCTGGCCACAGGCAGGGCACACGTCAGGTCTGACATACATGCAGCATAGCTCTAACATGCCATACTTGCTGAATCTGACGTCTTTGGCAAATCTGGCATGTCACACAGGTCACAGAGATCTTGCCACATCTCATGTCACGTCGTGTCATGTCACACAGGTGTCACGTGTGTAATGTCACGCCACATCTCAGGCTTCACACCGTCGCTTGTCAGATGCATGTCATATAAATGTCACATGGATGTCATGTCCCATGTATGTCACATGCCACATACGTGACACCTTTCATGTCACACGCATGTCATACATTTTTGTGTGATACTAGAGTTGGGGAATCAAGCAGGAGGAAAAAAGCTCAGGAAACCAATTGTTGTAAGTATTTTAAGGGGTTCTACTGAGGTTTTTTTACAACTTCCAGGGTAAAGGTATGTGTGCTAAAGTTCACCTTGTTAGGCATTTTCAGATGCTTTTAATATCCTTTTTCTCTAAAGACATCTTTTACAGTTTGGGCCATACACGAGCTGATCATGGAAATACTATTAAAGTATGTGAACCTGCCTCTAATTTAGGTGTAAATTTGACAGACAAAAGCAACTACAACCATGTGTATCACAAGCATCTTCCTCACAGTTCAGTTAGCTGTATACATCAGCAGTGATGTCTTGAAGCACTTTTTGGAGTTGCTACCTGGGGAGCAAGCCAACCTGAAAATGTCTTGAAAATTCACAGCAGAGTGTGGCTACTGAGGAAAAGTGATGTGTCAGTCCCCAGAACTAGGACCAGGACAGCCACAGCCTCCCTTTTCCATGACTGTAAGTCTGCAGCTGTCTCAAATATCGTATCCCAACTCCAAAGAAGTTCATGCAGACCAAATGCCAAAACGTATATATTTTCAGTATACTGTTGAACTACAGTTCTGTTCCCATTCTCTCCCTAATACTGAACAATAGAGTGCGAGTCAGCACCCTTTGGATCAGGTTCCCACTAAATCTTTCAGGCACAGACCTGATGGGGAGGCTGGCAACTGTGTTCAAGGGATTGTCTGGATTTGACTCTGCAGGTTAGTGCCAGTGCTAGGCAATCTCGACCTCACTCAGTTTTATTGTTGTGGTCACTTAGGTGTGGGATGTCTTCCAAGGTTCTGCACACTGAACTCCACAGGTGGCAGTGGTAGCCAGAATTCAGTAGCGTTCATACAGTTCATGTTCATGCAATATTTACATTCTTACAGATGTTTTGAAGACTAATTTCTCTTTATTTCAGAGGCTCAGTACTTATAGTCTCACTTTGTTTAAAATTTCATTATTTTTGCAGTCTGCTTTTAACAATTTATCGAGTAAGAAGGAATGTATGTAAAGAGAAGGGTTGTTCTACAAAGATTGACAAGGTAGAATTATTATGAAGACACTTGTTGCCTGTCTTGTGTGTCATACTGTATTCAGGTATTTCTGTTATTCCTGTCATCTGATTTGAGAAGAGGGTGGAGCTTCTCTGTTTGTGGCTGAGGTGACTGACAGTATTTTGCTTTCCTGAGTCCCTGTGGGTGGGGACAGAGCACTCCTTCGCTGTGGGAAGAGAGGAAAAGTAGAGCAACAGACAGCAGTGCTGTAAGTATTTTCCCAGTTTTGGCAGAAAGCTGTCATTAACGCCTATTTTCTCTTTGCAGCAGGCGAGGAAACTGATGTTCTTTCCACTGTTAGTCTGGTTTGAAGTGTAAGTACTCCATACCGCACCCACCAGGAAAACACATCAAAGACTAAACGATAGGCTGATAACTAGTAGTAGGCTTACTTTCATCGATTGTAGCCTGCCTTGTTAGCGCTGAGTTGTGGCTTTTGCATTGTAAAACACGCTCTTACTTGTTTCTTTCTGCGTAAAGCTACAATGTCACATAACTGACTGCATCTGCGTTTGAAGTAAGCACATTTCTGAGTTTCCACAGAAAGGTTTCTGGCAATACCTAAAGCAGTACCGCGTTCACATGGAGTTATCGCTTTAGTCATCGATTTTACATCAGTTGTAACTGGAAAGAATTGGGTATCTAAGTGTTCTGGGACCTCAGTTACCTGCACAGTTATTTCAGTTGTTTTACTGTTTTTGTGATGTTTTCCTGTCTCTGAAGATTTTTGAGAAGTACGTGTTTTGCTTACGCCAATGAGAAACGTGTCCTGCAGAAAGCTTGTGTAGCTGAGGAGTACAGCTCACAGAAAACAGGGTTTTGGTGATTTTTGGGGGGAAAGCAACTTGATGCTGTTACTTCTACGCTTTGTGCTGGTATGCCAGCATAAACTGGTATTTTATGTTGCTTTAAAAAGGATATCTGCAGGGGTCTTGCTTTGAGTTTGGTATCTGTACACTTGATACGCTGCTAAACACTTCATTGGGGTTTTTTAGTGTGTTAAAAAACGTAGAGTAGTAAGTCACTAGTGAAAAAAAGACTGTATCGTTTAACAAAGAAGACTCAAGACATTTTTTATGTTATTGAAATTTATTAAATATAATCCACAAAAAACTTTCAGTAGTTTTTTCAATAAATAGTTGCTTCTCAGTTTATTGACAAGTTTTCCAAAGGACATTTTGAGCCCGTAGGGCTTACAGAAAGGATCAAGCACGGTCTTAGAACAGACTGTCTTATCATCCACAC